ATAAAATAAAAATTCAAGTTTCACCAAAAATATAGGAAAGCCGGGTTATCAATAGACGATAAATAGTGTACTATTTTGATCCATAAAACATATGGTATAGTATTTATTACTTATTGTTAGTTTTTTTATTTTAAAAACACAACCGGTGGTCCTCCTGAACATTCTTAGAGTTTTTTTTTTTGTTCTTTTTAACAGAAACAAATATTCATGCCCTCTCACTCTTATGTGATTATGTCTAATGACAAATTTTGTCGATAAGTGTTTACTATTTATTGCTTTTTTTAATGATGTCATTATTGTCATAATTTAGGAAATGAGCATTCATGTATGGTTACTGAATGGAGAACAGACAACATTGCATTTTTTATTATTTTTTTCTTCCATTTCTTCCATTAATAGAACTGCACATGGAGATAAAGTGAAGAAATAAACAAAAATACATCACCAATTTTTTCAGCACCTGGACTTTCCTTCGGTGTCATTAAAACAAATAAATACTGCAAAAACTTAAGCAGAAGTGGAAAAAATAAATAAATGTTATTTGAAAAAGCAAATTATAAGGATACAATGGAAATTATTTTTTTCGTTTGTGCTAATCAATAGAATTACTATATTTATATTTAAAATGTAGTAATTAATTTTTTTTTGTAGATGAAAATAGATACAGATCAGATGTAACATTTGTTGTGCTATGATCTAGCATTGGCAGGTTTAATGAGAATTTCACTCCAACAATGACAGTATCATTCTAATAAAGCTTTGTAGAAAATTTGCAAATCTGCCAAAATGTAATAACACTGTTATGCTCAAGATAGACTTTCAACATATTGCCTACTCTATATATTATTAGATGGAACTGACTTCCACATGTACATGTGTCACACTTGTGTATTGGGTTTGATTAATTGAAAGTGTTCTGACTATGTATTATTCCAGAGCTTGAGCTTAACAGATACATCAAAGAAAATTGCCTTGATGCCCAATGACTTTTCTTTAAATCTCTTTAATATTCCCTATATTCTTATATGCTTAGGTCATTTTATAAATGTTGGTCTTAGTGCTTATTACATGCCCTGTTATTAGGAGCTTTGAGAAGGGATCTAGCACAGACAAAACCTGTATTAGTGACTACACCTGCCTATAGTGACCACTTTTATACAATCCCATAGCAACCTGTGTATAAAGACCACCTGCCTATAGTGACCACTTTCAGGTAATTCCATAGCAACCTGTATATAAATACCACCTGCCTATAGTGACCACTTTCAGGCAATCCCATAGCAACCTGTGTATAAAGACCACCTGCCTATAGTGACCACTTTCAGGCAATCCCATAGCAACCTGTGTATAAAGACCACCTGCCTATAGTGACCACTTTTAGACAATCCCATAGCAACCTGTGTATAAATACCACCTGCCTATAGTGACCACTTTTAGACAATCCCATAGCAACCTGTGTATAAAGACCACCTGCCTATAGTGACCACTTTTAGACAACCCCATA